AAGTTCCTCTTCGAAAGCGCAACCGCAGTGGCTGGCAAGGAGTGGCCAGGAAAGGGAAGCTGGCTGCGAATTGCCAGCGGAGAAAGGGAGGCCTGGCCAAAGGGACCGACGGAGCACCTGGGCTCCTGGCCAGCGGAATGCAGAGAGGGAGGCTGCATTGGGACCCCCAGGGCCTTGCTCCAGTGGGGGGGGGGGGAGATCCATAGCAAACCAAGGCCCAATTACCTCTTGGCCATCCAGGAGCAGTTGCCGTGGGGGCGGGCTTCTCATTGCAGTCCCAAAATCGGCTGTGGTAGAGCTCCCGCGCCTATGGGAAGGCAGAAATCCAACCGGTGCTTCATTCCCCACACCCAATTCCCCTGCATGGCTCCTACCCCCACCCTTGAAAACATACCCCCACCCACGCTGCCCCACCCAGCTCAGTCCTTACTTTTCTCTGCAGTCTGTGTGGCGGGAAAGCAGAGAAGGTGAAGCCACGTGCAGCCCCCTCCAGCCTCCAGCTCCTCTAGGCTGAAGGCTGCTAGGGGGTGGGGCTTAGCTTCTAGGAAGCAAGCCCCTGCCCTGACTTCCCTCCCAGTCCCAATCCATCCGACAGAAAGTGGAGGGGAAGAAACCTCCGCTTTCAAAATGGGGTGGGGCTGCAGAGGATGGGTGGCAAGGCTTGGAACCTTGTTGCCCGGGGGGGGCTGTAAAATTTCGGGGATAGCCTCAGCCCCAGAGCCCCTCTGAAGTTGACGCCTATGGGTGAGTGAATTACCTGAGTTGTGGGTTGGCTAAGGTTTGTTCAAAAGAGGCCGAGCAGTGGTTTGATGGCCTGTCCTGGGTTTGGGATTGAATTACTGCAGATGGTTCTATTGGGAGGGAGGCTCAGGGACCTCAGGTTATTGACCAGAAGATTTATTTATTTTTATCTATTTATTTATTTATTAGATAGATTTCTATCCTGCCCTTCCGCTGAATAAGCTCAGATTTGAATCTTTTACTTATGGGCATGGGTGTGAGGGAGTTCTGGAGACTTGGACAAAAGGCCTTTGATTAATGTGCTCCTTTGGAACATTCAGCCAGTTGGGCTACACCCATCTGAGAGTGTGCAGGGGAATTCCTGCCAATTTCTTGGGCCCTGTTTTGATCTATCAAAATGAGCATTTTATCCAGACATCCAACATTTTTAATGCCAGAGGATCTTGAGGTGAACACAGATATAGGGGGTCCCTGTGTGTGTGTGTGGGCTTGGCTTCATAGATTTTCCCTCTTGCTTTTCCTGTTGAGCTGAAAAGTTCCCCCCCCCCACCTCTGACATGCAAGATCAAAAGTTTTAACGCTGCTGAGCAATAATTTGCCTAACAGGACAGTTATTTTGCTTTTAGAGCCAGTTTTTGTTATGCTCCTTTGTCCACTAACATAACATTTTGCGGTGAATACATAATAGTAAGAAACAGCCTTTTCACAAATAGAGAAAGATGGCCTACTGAGGAAAGCTAAGGCAGCTGAAATTACTTTAAATGATTGCATCTATTTGTAATTTCATTATCCTCTGCTTTATTTGTCGGCAGTTCTTTTATCTTAGTCTCTAGTTTGTTGGCTGTTTGTAGGCTACAAAGTTCTTCCATCAAAACCAGTTTCATGTTTTCCCCGCAATTGCCTACAAGAATCTTCCTGATCCTTGCAGGAGACCGCAGCTGATTCCAGCACCTCTTTCTTGTTGCTGCAGTTTTTGACACTGAATGCTCCAAATTTTTATTTACGTCCTGTGCTCTATGAATGTCATAGTTCTCTCTCTGATCTGTTGTGGGAAAACATCTCCTGCCCCTCCGGTTAACCAGCACCTGAAACATAAATGGTGTGCAGAGTTGATCCTCTGTATCATTGGTAACTGTGCAGTTTTGCATTGACTACTGGCAGTGCAGTTCTTTGGCAACTTTGATGCTGTTAGGAAACAGTTGTTCAGACATCTGTAGCCTGAAGCATAGGAGCAAATATACAAGAAGGTACTGTTAGGGGTTCCATCTTCTGACTGGACATAGGCTGCATGCTGTAAGTCATTGCACACCATGAGACCTTCCAAAAGAGACAGCTGTTTCTATCATGAAGATGTGGGGATCAGTTAAAAAAAAAAAGCTGCACTTGTTGAAACGCTTCCTACCATCAGGTTCAAAGGCAGCTTGTGCTGTTAGTGTATCAGACTAAGGCTGTGGTCACACGACAAGCTAATTGCGATTTGTTCCGGAATATTTTTTTCGGTTGGGATGATCACACATCCCTCCCCGAACTGGAAGCATTGCGCGTGGAGGCTCTGGGCACCATCTAGATGCAGTGGGCCCCTCTCTCTCTGCCACCTGCTCGCCTGCCAGCCCACCCGCTCATGCGCTCAAAGGCGGAAGCTGGGGGAAAAACCTCATCGCGTGAAGAATGGTCAGACGGCCCTAATCGCAATCATTGCGAGAGATGGCTGTCCAGATGGGCGATTTCGCGGATTCAGAGTGCAAATACCCGGAAAGTACTTAATTTTCCTGGTGCAGGAAAACATGGGAGAGAACCGGGAGCATTGTGGGAGTGAGCCCGCTTCAGCGCGGGAGGCGGATCAGCCTGTCTGGTCAGCAATTTTAAAAGCAGGAGGAAACAGCAGTGAAACCCGATCAAAACGACCGTGTGACCATAGTTTAAGACTCCAGGGGAGATCAAAGTTCTAATCCCCACTTGGCCACTTAGTTCAGTGGGGAGCCTTGGGCCAGTCGCTCTATTTTAGCTTGGTCTGCCTCATCAAGTTGTTATGAGGATAGAATGGAGGAGGGGAGAACTGTGTATGTCACCCTGAGCTCCTAGGAGGAAGGGTGGGGTGAAAATGTGATAGTTAAATAAATATCAGCTGTAATTCATTTCTAAGAAATCTGATATTTCCCTCGTTTGCTCTTTATTCTGTTATCAAAATATCTGACGTATTAGATAGGCACTATCCAGAGTTACATAGTTTGGTGTAGTGGTTAGGAGCGCAGACTCTAATCTGGGAGAACCGGGTTTGATTCCCCACTCCTCCACATGCAGCTGCAGGCATGACCTTGGGTCAGTCACAGTTCTCTCAGAGCTGTTCTCTCAAGAGCAGTTCTTTCAAGAGCTCTCTCAGCCCCACCTACCTCACAGGGTGTCTGTTGTGGGCAGGGGAAGGGAAAGGGGTTGTAAACTGCCGTGAGACTCTTTTGGGTAGTGAAGGGCGGGGTATAAATCCAATCTCTTCTTCTACATCTTTCTAAGTCCGTTGAAGTCAGTTGAATGGTCGTAGGTCTCTGCTTAGCATGGCAATGATTATGGCCACGATTCGAAGAAATATGTGGCTGCTTTTGCATTCAAAGCATGTCTTTGTATTTGTGTTTCTCACACAGCTGACCTCCAGGCAGCTTAAAAAACATCTTTGAAATGAAGGGGTGTTTCAAAATCTTGCTTTTGTAACATCCGAAAGTTTCAAAAGTAGGGTATTTTGGCACTGAGTAAATAGTACTTTGATATTTTATGGGGGTCTGTGTTCAAAGAATAAAGAAAAAAAATTAATGGGCTAACCTAAAATAGCTCTTTGAATCCTGGCCATGCAGCTGCTACTGCAAATGCAAAATATCGAACAGTGGTCTCTCACCATAGTATCATTCACAAGAGAACAGCAGCTTCTGCTTGGGCTGATAGTTGGCAATCTAATGATACATTGCTGAGTTGTGTTAATTCTTTCCTTGCTTTTGTCAATTTTATTCTGAAAAAGAATGTAATCCAGTGACACAACACCAGTGTGGAGATGGGAGATGCATAACAATGGATTGGGTGTGTGATGGTGACCATGACTGCACAGACAAATCAGATGAGGTCAACTGTTGTAAGTAACCTGAGTTTTGTGAGTCAGGGGAGATTTCTGAATAGGCCCTACACTGGCAGAATCTGCCCTTGTGGCCTTAATAGGATTGATACATCCTCCCATGCCCTGCTGGAATGCAGATTTTTCAAGATTCTTAGGGATTACTATATTAAGCCTTTAATCAACCAATCATTCCCCTACACTCTGGAAACCCTGGCTTTCTTGCTCAGTGATAAGGATCCTAAGATCACTCTAGCAACTGCAAAATTTGTCTCAGTTCTTTTAGCCCTTGCCTCCAAAAATGAGAAAAAAGTATTTTCTGCTGCTCAAGATTCGTGAATCAATGAGCTTCTAAGTGTATAAAAGGATAAAAAGGAGAGTGGTGAGTCCCTGGTGGCAAGTCTGTGTAAAAATGCTTCACTTGCCTGAATTGGACTGGGACCATGGCACAGGGGGAGAAAAGGCCAGGTGGGGTGTTGCTTCCCTCTTTGGGAATGTTTGCATGTGTAACTCTCCAATGCAGCAGATAATACCACCTTCAGTTCAGGAAAAATGGCACAGGAAGCGGCAACAGCCCTTTCTTCTCCTTTGCCATACTTCCAATTTCAATTGGGCTCCTGGTGCGCTTTTACATGGAGTTGTCACAAGGGATTTGCAGGTGCAATACGGCTACCAGTAACCATTGGGAACTCATGAAAAACATAATGTTTGGTTTGGCCCTAAGTTCTCAGGGGCCTGAGCAGACTCATTTCCCCTCTTCCCTTTTTAGTTGCGCTGCTCTTGGCATTCCAGGCCTACTTATTTCTCATTAGGGTGTTTTTAGAAGTTGTTTCCTCTTTCTCTGCATATTTGGGAAGTCCCCGAGTATGTAGACCATGACCTTCTCTCTTGGGGTCTGTGTTGTGGTAGCCAATTACATCAGGCCAGCCAATTTTAATATTGTTCATTCCTAGTCTTTTAGCAATATGTGTTTATTGCATTGTATTTCCCACACTTCCATTACAGTTTGAACGAATTATATATATAATTTATATATATATAAACATGACACTATATGACACTAATAATCGTATCATTTCTGTTATATGTTTATCCAAATTAAATAACTGTTCAGGAAATGGATATCCTTACAACCTTACCAGAATATCTTCTTGTTTTTTTCCAGCATGTCATAGTCAGGGACTTGTGGAATGTAAAAATGGGCAGTGTGTTCCCAGTGCATTCCGGTGTGATGGAGACCATGACTGTAAGGATGGAAGTGATGAAGAAAACTGCAGTGAAAGTAAGGGTATGCCCCTTGTATGCTTAATAATTCATAAATGAAAGATCCAGAAACGTAAACCATTGCATCTGCATATTTTGGGGAGGAGTACAGAGTAGTAGTAGTAGTAGTAGTAGTAGTATTTATTATTAGTTCAGCTTTCCCACTGAAATTCAAGGCAGATTACACAGTGTGAATCAATGCACTGAACAGAATGCTATGTCTTATAAGTATTGTAATAGGATGAGGTATTAGAGAAATTTGAAAAAGAGCTGTTGTCTGAACAAAGCATAAGTATGAAACAATGCAGAAAGTGGAAGTACATCAGTAGAAACACAGTGCATTTTCCTGGTAGCACTATTTCATTTATAAACGTGGTATCCTGAACAATTCTGCTTTACATAGTTTGCAAAATACCAGGCGAACGGGAGCCTTCCTGACCTCTTCAGGCAGGCCATTGCACAGGTGTGTGTGTGTGGGGGGGAGCATGTCGAGAAGCCAAGTATACAGATCTGCAGGGTGGCACCTGCAGAAGGGTTTGTTCAGATGAGCAAAGTTATCGCAGCAGGATCTAGGTGGAGAGCTCATACTGTCCCAACTCATAATTTCTACTGGGAAGTTTTATTGGGGTGTATTGAATGGGGATTATGACAAAAAGCTTTCTGTTGAATTGTGGCCTCATGAAGATCCTGTCAAGGCAAGCCATTTAGTTTGGAATCGCCATGGAGGCATTTACTCAGTTTTAACAGAGGGTTTAGACAACATCATTGGCCACCTATCACAGTTCGTTTCCTCCCCTGTGTTGTCATCCTGTCTTTTTTTCAGGTTTCCTTTGTACAGATTTTGTTCTGCTTTGAGCAGAATTACATCATGCTGTGGTATTTCTTCTGCGGATGGCTCATTCACACATGCAGATTACAACCCTTGCTGCAGTCATCAACTGATGAAATGCATGTGTTAATTCAGAGTTGAGTAAAAGGCATGAGAGTAGATAGCTCTATTTAATTTAAATCAAAGTCTCTATGGAGAGCAAAGTCTTTTCAAATTATACAATACTTTGCCCACCCTAGATTCCTAGGAAGGAAAGTCTTTTAAAAATGTGATGGAAGGAGAACATTATCATGGAATTTCATCTGTGCAAGTTACAAATAAACATTAGTTCACCACATGGCTGAATTAGAAAAACAGACTCCTTCCCATATACCCCTCAAGGAAATGTAATTAGGTTTAGGCTGACATTATTGCTGTAATTCATTCTGTGGAATAGAAATCCAATACAGAGGTTCCCCCCAGCTGAGTCTACAAAACTGTCCAAAGACATGGTGTTTATAGGAATTTTATTTAGGCTGTGGTATGCTTAGCAAGAATCTATCTGCTGTTTCATACAAATTCAAGCAGCATTATGAATTGAAGAGGAGAACAGGGTGAAGTTGAAGAGTTAAGACTTTACAAACATGTTTCAGCGCACAGACTTGCCATAGCTTGTGTTCATCTTTGGTCTTCTGTGTAGTCCTGTGGAGAAGAACTTACTAGCTTCAATAGACTGAAAAGGGGTTCCTCCCTCCCTTTTCCCTCCCAAACTGTCATGTGCTGTGAGGGAAGAGTACCATTTTCTCTCCGTTCTCCTCTCTCATTCTCTTCAATTTCTTCTGTCATCTTTGCTACTGGGTCATTCTGTGGGTTTTCACATGGCTCAGAAATCCTTGTTCAAAGTGTGTGCCCCAGTGTGGCGCCAAAATGACGCAGACTAACAAGCATATGGTGTGTCTTCTATGCCTCAGTGAGTTGCATAATGTTGGGGCTTGCCACCATTGCCATCAGATCACCCTGAAGGTGAGGAGTGATACGCAGGGCTGTTTTTGTAGCAAGAACTCCTTTGCATATTAGGTGACACACCCCTAATATAGCCAATCTTCCAAGAGCTTACAGCAATTCTATACAAATACTAGAAGTGTCCGAGGTAAAATCGGGGAGTTGGAGTGCTTGGTGTCGGAGGGAAAAATAGACATTGTGGGTATTTCTGAAACTTGGGGGCCTCCTGTCTTAAGGCTGCTCTTTGGGAGAAAGCTCTGTCTGGTTCCAGCAACCCAGTAGCCAAACCCTCTACCACACAGGAACTGTCTTCTTGACTGTTGGTATCATCACACCGCTTGGTTTCAGCTTTGGATCTGCCTAGGACTTGGTCCTGGTCCCTGGGTCTTTTAAATTCACACTGGAATGCATCAGAACTACCTCCAAACCTCCCCCACCCCCGAATTCAAGTTGAAGCACCTGGATAAGGTTTTGGTTCTGGCTTGGCCTATGGAGTCAGATAAGATACTTTCAGTTCTTCAGCCTACAGTCCAGGACCCCCACGAAGATTACACCTATGTCAGAACTACCTCCAAACCTCCCCCACCCCTGAATTCAAGTTGAAGCATCTGGATAAGGTTTTGGTTCTGGCTTGGCCTATGGAGTCAGATAAGATGCTTTCAGTTCTTCAGCCTACAGTCCAGGACCCCATCATCCTTGAATTAGATGCAGTACTGGCTCCTCCATGTAGCAGAAGAAGAGATTGGATTTATACCCCACCCTTCACTACCCAAAGGAATTTCAGAGCGGCTTACCATGTCCTTTCCCTCCCCCTCCCCACAACAGACACCCTGTGAGGTAGGTGGGGCTGAGAGAGCTCTTTCAAGAACTGCTCTGGAGATAACAGCTCTGAGAGAACTTGTGACTGACCCAAGGTCATTTAGCTGCCTGCATGTGGAGGAGTAGGGAATCAAACCTGGTTCTCCCAGATTAGAGTTCTCGCTTTTAACCACTACACCAAACTGTCTCTCCCATCTCCTCATCTCCAAGACTGCGATGACTCTTTATTGGAGGGTGAGATCCTATAGGAGAACCAGTTTGGTGTAGTGGCTAGGAGCACTGACTCTAATCTGGGAGAACTGAGTTTGGTTCCCCACTTCTCCACATGCAGCTGCTGGTGTGACCTTGGGTCAATTACAAGTTGTTTCAGAGCTGTTCTCTCAGAAGCAGTTCTCGAAAGAGCTCTCTCAGCCTCACCTACCTCACAGAGTGTCTGTTGTGGGGAGGGGAAGGGAAAGGAGATTGTAAGCCGCTCTGAGACTCCTTCAGGTAGTGAAGATTGGGGTATAAATCCAATCTCCTCCTCATCTTCCTCCTCTGGTTTCCATGCCAAAGAAGTTGTGTTTGGTTCCACATAGCATGCTTTGGCTGGCTCATTATGCTTTGGTTCTGTGGACACCTTACCCATACTTGCCTACGATTCTGGATGGGGGACCTTCTGCTCATAGCAGTCAGTTCCATCGGCCCTTTAGTTCCATTCTGACCATATGCTCTGTCAGTTCCAGCCCCCCCCCCTTTCAGAAACCTATGATTCATCAGACTGAAGATTCTGATGGTGATGAAGAAGCTTCATGGTTCGAATCCATCTCCTGGTGAAGCTTGTGGGGGATTCCATTGCAGTATCTCCTGATGATGACGTACGGCTTTACTCTGAATAAATGCTGTGCATGGCCAAGCCTTTAAAAATCGATGTGATGTCCTCAAATCCAAACCCCCCAAATAAAATCTTGAGCACTTTATATTCAGATTCTCCTGTCACTATGGCATTTCCCGTGCTGGAGGATTTTGGGGGCATTGCCACTTCAGTTTGGGAGAAACCAGCTTCCATTCCCATCAGCTCTGTCAAGATAGAAAATGTGTATAAGGTGTGCCAGGAGGACTGCATGTTTCTCTTCACACACACACCACACCTATCACCCTGCCTTTGGTAGTTCTCACTCTGCCCTTACAGATAAAGAAGGCAAATGGATGCTGTTTGTAGGAAGGTCTACGCCTTTTTTACGCTTCAGTCTGCATGTAGCCAACTATCAGGCCATCACGGCAGCATACCAACTTTTCCTTTGGGAACTTTTCCTTTGGGATCTCCTACCTTGAGCTAACTTCCCAGGACAAGTGTGCTTTGTAAAAAGTCCTGCAGGCCGAAGCTGATAAGCTGTCAAAGCAGCAGATGAATGCTGGCTGTCATAGTTGCCAATTGCTGAGCACATTCCATAGCTTCTGCCATCACCCTCAGGTGTTGTGCCTGGTTACGCCATCTTGCCTCCTGAGACTCATTCTGAGGTGGAGGACTTATCTTTTGAAGACTCTCAGCTATTTTCAGCAAAAACTGATGAGGCCTTGGCTCAGATCAAGGGGAAAACTTTCTATATCCTATAAAAGTCTATATCCTGGTACATTAATGTGTGAGGAAGAATGTTTTTGTGATCACTTGAAGTTTCCACAGAAGGACAGAATGCCTGCTGACTACTCACTACTCACTAATATAATGACCATGATGGCTATCTTAGTGACTTCAAATAGCGATATAGACACATTGTTTGCTAGGCAAACCTTCTGTTAACTCTTTCCTCTTTAGTACTGACTGTTTTATTGGTCAAAATTGTTCCACCATACAGCAAGTATTGTAACATCTAATTTTGTCCCTCTAGGTCAGATGCTGTGTCACCAAGGAGATCAGAAATGTACTTCTACATCCTGTCCTGATTCCTGTGGCAACTCTTCTCTCTGTAATGTGAATAGCAGCCGTCTGAAAGAATGTTTTTGTGATCACTTGAAGTTTCTACAGAAGGACAGAATGCCTGCTGACTATTCAGTATTCACTAATATAATGACCATGGTAGCGATATTAGTTACTTCAAATAGCGACATAGACACATTATTTGTGGATGCTAGGCAAACCTTTTGTTAACTCTTTCCTCTTTCGTACTGACTGTTTTATTGGTCAAAATTGTTCCACCATACAGCAAGTATTGTAACATCTAATTTTGTCCCTCTAGGTCAGATGCTGTGTCACCAAGGAGATCAGAAATGTACTTCTACATCCTGTCCTGATTCCTGTGGCAACTCTTCTCTCTGTAATGTGAATAGCAGCCGTGTGAACTGTAGTGAGTAGGGCATTTGCTTTTTATCAATTCTATCCCTACACACCTGCTTCGAGCAGCTTCCCTACTGGTTATATGAATGATGGTGTGTTTCAGGACGTCAGAGAAAATGATCTTTTCTTTTTTAAAGTTGCTTCTGATTAATAATGGTCACATGTGTCAGTGTTTGAAGTGATTTTGATTAGGAGAAAAGAAAACAAAGGTGTTTAGTCATGTGATTTTATCATGACTGAAGACAGTAACAAATTTGTTGCGACAACCTATTCCAGTGTTCTGTTGTCACTGGCTTTCTCATTTTTATTAGTCTTGTAGGGCATTTGTTATTGTGATAGATTTTCAGAACACTATGAGAGCATCTGACATGAAAGAAAGATGGCTGTAGTTTGCTCACAAATCTGCCCTCTTTCCAATTTAGTTTACATGCACCATAATAATAAAGTGAAACAAATATATAATAGGCATGTATTTATATGCCTGTTTCTTGCTAAATAATGGCCTTCTGTTTTGCAATTACCTTGTAGCAGATCTCCATATAATACTGAATTGTAGAATGGTTCCAAAAAGCCTTTGAATCATGGGCCAACACAAAGGGCCTGTTCACTCATGATCACTCAAAAACTTGTCTCTGAACTGAGATGCAGAGTTTGCTTCCCTCATGAAAGTGAGAAGTCAGCTGAGTAGTTTCAGGGCTAATTCCACTATGAGGCAGGCAATAGATTTTGGGTGCCATTAAACATTAGCAAATCGCCCATTATGTACAAGTACACACACACCCATTTGTATTTTAATGACTGGGCACCCAAATATCATGGGAAGGGGCAGCACTTCTGATGCTTTTTACAGGGTGACCACATGCAAGTGACCACTTGATACTGCTGTTTTTCACTAATGAATAGGCATGTGTGATCCAAACCTAATAAATAGAAATACCAAATGATGGGTGTGACACTGCCAGTGTATGAAGAAGTACTGTGAAGTGTAGCCTACATGCTCAGAATCCAAAGAGGACTGGTGCTAGATCCCAAAATTCCAGATACCTCTTGAGTAGGCTTGTCAATTCTAGGTTGGGAAATCCATGGGGTAGAGCTAGGGATGAGACCTTTAAAAGAATGAATACATAATTCTTTTATTATGGTTATTTTTGTTTGCACTGGACATTTTACTAGAAAGTTCACCACTTCTTCAATTTTATACATGCACGCACGCACGCACGCACGCACACACACACACATATATATACAATTGTTTTGCAAACTGCAAGAACACCAGTAGCAACAAAAAAACCCCTTTAATGTCTACAGTCATAGAAGCATGAGGGTGTTGTTTCTGGTGTGATTTTCTTGCTTTGATTTGAAATTATTAAGAGGATACATTTTCAGTTAAAAACAAATATATACTTTCCTTTGGGAATTGGGGATAGTGGTAAAATATGATCCACTCTACTAATCTTGTATCCTGGAATTACTAAAAATTCATGAAACTATTGAATTCCAAAAGTATTACTTATGTATTTTAAATGTAATTTCAGTCTTTTTTCTCTCTGCCAGGTCAGTGTGAGCCAATTACATTGGAACTGTGCATGAATCTGCCTTATAATTATACTAATTTCCCCAATTACTTGGGCCATCGAACACAGAAAGAAGCCTCCATCAGTTGGGAGTCCTCTCTGTTCCCAGCTTTGGTTCAAACTAATTGTTACAAATATTTGATGTTTTTCGCCTGCACAATCCTGGTGCCAAAATGCAATCCTCAAACAAACCAACGAATTCCGCCATGCAGGTAATATTTAATAGCTAGCTGTAGTTTAATTTTTTCCCCTGTTTCAGTGCAACTTTAATTCTGACTACAGTATACAGAAGGACAATATCAGTGGTGAGACTATGGGTTACTATCGCTTCTCAGTTTCATTTTCAGAAGCTGCAATGCAGCCACGGCAAGTGGGCTGTGCATTAAGTTACTGTTAAATCAGTGATCCAGTAAAAGCTAGTAGTGTAGACCAGGGGTGTAAAACTAATTTCTTATGAGGGCCGGATTTGACATAAATTGGACTTTGTCACATCGGGCCATGTGTGTCATAAAATGTAATGACAGGTAGCAGAGATATAAACTTTATAAAGGACACAGAAAAACACAGTTAAAGATATTATAGCAGCTGTTCCATTGGAGCCCCACATTAGGGGCTAATATTTCTCTGCAAAATTGAAGTTCCTTGAGTTTGTTGACTTCTATATTTTAACAGTGGTTAGTTCCAACCCTCCCTCCTGAAATATAAACTACAAATATAAATGGTTTGAGCCTAGGACCCAGGGGAAGAACATGAAACAGCCGAGCATTGCAAGCTTCTCCCCCCCCCCAGGTCTACTCAGAGTGGCAGTGGCTCTCCAGGGTCTCGAGGGGGGTTTACAGGGTGGTTGGAGATAATAATTTTGGGTGTCCTCTTTAGCACTTGTTCTGCTGTTATTCCATTGGAGCTCCACATTAGGAGGGTATGTGTTAAAACTAATATTTCTCTGCAAAGCTGGAGTCCCTTGAGTTTGCAGAACTCTACATTTTAACCCTGGCTGGTCCCAAAATTTCCCCACCCACACCCTTAAAACGTGCCTGCCTAAACTGTGAAGGTGGGGGGATTATGGGATATTGCAAAGCCAATTAAAAAAGAAGCACAAGGATCACAGCAGAAGGAAAACCCCCACCCACCTGTGACGAGGACTACGGAGGCTTGGAGCGGTGGCTGGGAAGTTTGGCAGCCCGCTTCCTGCTCTGAGACAGCCCTCACACTGAGACCTCTGCTCAGAGGCAGCCCCACCTTCTGCTTCCTGCTCTCAGAGGCAGCCCCACCCTCAGCTCTTTATATCCGCACACAGCTCAAGCTGAGAACAGTGAGGTTGGGCAGGGGTGGGGGGAGAGAAGAGAGCCCCCCCTGGGTCGGATTAAAGGCCTGGGCGGGCCGGTTCGACACCACTGGTGTAGACAGTCTCTTCCTCATCTGCACCATTACTTGCAATACTAGTGAATTAATGAATCATTACCATCATCCATCATCATCACAACCTTTATTGGCATATATCGGAATACAGGTAGAAGCAATAAACATCTGCATCTAGACATTATGCAATCGATCCTTGATTACCAGACTTAGGAATAAGGCTACCTTTTCAGTTTATTCTGGGTGACGAATCATTCAAAGTATCCGGCCAGCCTATTATATTAGACAGGGGTCATTCCCTGTGGGAGCGCACAGGAGCGGAGCTCTGGCAGTAAGGAGCCCAGGGGGTGGACACATGCAACAGGCCCCGCCCCCTGCTCCCAGCAGCCCTCAGTCAGGCCACGAGGAGGAAGAAGCAGCCAGGTAAGTTGCAGAGCCCCCCCCCGGCCCACCTTCAGGTACATGCTCTCCCTCCTCTGTGAGGGCAGATCTGCGCATCCCCCCCCCCATAGCTAGCAATCCAAAACAGTCCAGTGGAGCCTGAGCGGTGGGTGTTGCCTTCTGACACACTTCCGGTGATGTCAGGGGGTCTGGCATATGCAAATAAGTTATGCTAATGAGCTCCTGCACTTCTTTTTCTATGAAATGACCCCTGATATTAGATAACATTGGGTCTTAAAAAGTAGAACGTATATCAATATCATCATATTGGGAAAATACAGTAAAATATGGAGGACTGAGTCAACTTGATTTAGGTTACATGCACAAAGTCTTGTTTTATATGGAATCCTATTATATCTGCCATAAGTAACTGCAGATGGAATGGCGTTGCATCTGGGAACTGCAAATGCTCTGCACAATCGTGGGGCATGGAGAGCTGATAAATAAGAAGGTGAATGGCCCACAATTGGGAAAATTCCAAAATTTAAAGGGGAGTGATCCTACACAGAGGCAAACCCTTCTAACTCCACTGAAGTAAATGGGTGCCTTGTTAAGGTTTGCCCTGTAACTTTGGTTTGCTGCTGAGAAGACTTGAGTTGACCTTTCCCTAGCTGACCACTACAAAGCAACCATGTAGCCCCTCTAATATTTCTCTAAAGACATTTGCACGTTCTTCCAGCTTTTCCCTGTCCTTCATTGCGCAAAGTACTGAAGTGTTTTTTTGCTCAATTATGCAAATTACGGAAAGGCGAAGGAAAAAATCATGGCACTGCAGTAACTGGCACAGATTCTTGTTCATGCTGTAGAGTTCCACGATGCTGTATAAATAGTTAAGTAAAAATATGATTTATTTTTTAATTTGCATTTTCTCTTCCTGGTGACTTGCTGTGTCTGATTCGGGTCAGTGGTTCAGATTCTAATTTCTAAACTATTCGGCAAAAGTTTCAGCCTTATGTTGTTATACCTATTTCTCCCTTCCTTTTTCTAGATATGTGTATTAGATTTTTAACCCACTCTTTCTCCAAGGTGGTTCTTGCCTCCTCCATTTTATCCTCATAACAATTCTGTGAGATAATTTAAGATGAGAGAGAGTGATTAGCTCTAGGACAGTCAGTGAGCATCATGGCTGACTAGGGTTTTGAGCCCAGGTCTCCTGATCATCAGGGCTGGCTGCCTAGCAAAGACTCCAAGCTAGTAGAAAGCTTCTTAGAACGCTGTAACTTCCAGCCATTGTAACCATTGGTTACGTAGTTAAGCCTTAAAAAAGAACAGCTAATGCAAGGGCTCTTTTTGTAGCAGGAACTCCTTTACATATTAGGCCACACCCCCTAATGTAGCCAATCCTCCAAGAGCTTACAGAGCTCTTCTTACAGGAGCTACTGTAAGTTCTTGGAGGATTGGCTACATTAGGGGTGTGTCACTTAATATGCAAATGAGTACCTGCTACAAAAAGAGCCCAGAATTGTATGTTCCCTCTAAGCTGTGGAGTCCTGTGAGTAAAAATTCTACTTTGTGAGCAGCTGGCATTAAAGTTGTGAGTGATCGATTTGGCCACTGCATACATTAATTTGTCTTACTTCCTCAACCCATTGCTGTGCAGAGTACGTTCATTGACCTTTTTCTTTTAATGAATTCTTTACTGTTTTAAACATTGGTAGTTTTTCTCTGTATCACACATACCTCCACTGTTTGAACACAGTATTCAAAACAGGCGCCAGAGGTAGGGATGTTGTTGGTTGCCAGACTGCAAGTTCTCCAAGAGTGCCCAAGTGCAGTTCCTCATGTTAGTCAGTCGCCAGGTAAAAGGAGATGCAGGTACTAGGCAGAGCCTTTGATTGGCAACACAAAAAGGAAGATGGAAGTATAGGCCCTTTTGGTGGGTACTTCCTCAAATGACCAACTAGAGGTAGTGTACTAAAGGAGAAGTGAGAGAGATAAATCCCTCCAAGGGTCTGGTGGGCTGGGTAAGCAGCACATTGCCAGGAGTAGACTTGGGTGGTAATTGGTGCTTAGATGCCTCAGAGAGCCAGAATGGAGTGTAGGCTTACCAAGTGGCGGCGGGGGATCCGCATGTCTTCACAGGATCCCTGCTGCGGGGACGGCAATACGTGGTGCACCCGCCGTCGCCAGGATGTGACGCTACGCGTCGCTCTGGCAACGGGACTCCAAACAGCCCCGTTGCCAGAGCGACACGTTGCGTCACATCCTGGCGACGGCGGGGGCACCACGTATTGCCGTCCCCGCGGCAGGGATCCTGTGAAGACATGCGGATCCCCCGCCGCCACTTGGTAAGCCTAATGGAGTGGGTGCTTGTGAGCCAGTGGGGCTGTTCCACAACTAAGTCTAAATTCATCAGGGTTTTTTTTTGCCGCAATTCCCCTTTGAAATTCTTTTGATGGAGAATGCTGACTTTTAGATCAGTACCAATGTGACCTAGAAGTTTGAACTGTTCTCTCACTGGCTTCTAAATATTTCCATTTTTAATGTCAAATTTGTGTCCATTTATTCTTTTTTTGTAGGAACTGACCTGTGTGTCCTATGCAGAAACTTAAGAGTCCTCAACCATTGGTTAAGTAGTTTAGCAAAATTAGGGAGACTGATTCATCTCCAATCACCGCTATTGTGAATGGCTGCTGTATCTTTCTTGATTACATTTGAATTTTACAGAATTGTATCTCACTCTGTACTTCCTGCATTCATGGCCCTTTCACATTGCTCATTACAGCCTTTTTCTTCATAAACTTATGTATATTTCTGCCTAATGTGTGTGTGTGTGGGGGGGTCAACCCTATGCATCTGACTTAGTGGGATCAAATCCATGAAAGTTTATGCTGGAGTAAAAAACTTGTTACACATTAAGGTGTCACAAGACTCCTGTTTGTTTTTGCTGTAGCATACTAATATGGCTGCTCTTCTAAAGTAATTACAGGTTCTGCAGTCTATCAGTCCATGAGCTTCTCAAGCCCACAAGTTTTTAAAACAGAAATACCACCATTATCACCCATTTGTATAATTTGGAATGTGTATATTACAGCCAATTACCGTGACAAAAGCCTATACCCAGAATTAAACTTTGTTGGTCTTAAAGGTGTGACTGGACTCAAACTTTGCTCTTTTGCTTCAGACCAACATGGCTACCCACCTGAGCCAATTACCATGTTAATTCTACTGATATGGAATGCTCTTGGCAGTATTATGTGAATTTTAACTCTGGAATTACAGTTTATTAGCCTCCCTTCTCCTTTTGGAACTCAAGGTGGCTTACAATATAATTAAAACATTATTTAAAAAACACAATAAAGACAACAATTATAATACCCATAAACCTCACGGTATAAAAATTCCAATTAGGACTGCCAGTAATAAAAGCTAAATCAATCAAAATGCAGTCCTAAATAAAACTGTCTTCAAC